GGGTGACCCCGCAGTCGTGGCGTAAACACCTGCATGTGAGTGGTGCCCTGTGAAGATACCCGCTATGTTACCAGGAGAGCGCTCGGCAACATGTCCGTAGTTCCTCATCCTGGTCAACAGCCTGTCATAGTCTGCTTGTGTTCGGGGCATCTGATGATTGAAGGGCTCAAGCAGGTGTTGGGCTCGTGACGCGCCAACGCCTAACGCTCTGAAGAGAATCAGCGTTAGGATCTGAAAGTTGGGGATGACAAAGCCAACAGAGTTAGCCTCGTCACGGGCCATCTCGAATCGAGCTAATACTGAGTCGATTCGCTCGCCCCTTTCGACGCGGAAGTCGATAAGGGCCGTGCCAGAGTTGAGCTGGCGCTCATCTTCCAGATTTTCAAATTTGGTGCTCAGTAAGTACAGTATGTAGGTTACTGCATCCGTTGGCTGTCCATTGACAGTTACACCATAATTGATGATCTGGGAGGGGACCTGCATGGCGATACGACGAGCCAGACCTTGAAGGCCTCGTTGTAGTGCTGCAGCTTGTTGTGGTGGTGTCATATTGCCGCTCGTTACGTTTAACCATGCATGTACTTCGCGAACGTATTCGCGGAAAGGCGTAGTACCGGCAGGGTCCCATGAAGGGCCAGTAGTACGCGTGTCGTCCATCCCCTGCCGCATGTATCCCACAGCACATCCCATTATCACCCATAGAATGCCGAAGATAGTTATCTTGATCCAATGCATATGCATTTCGGCTTCGGTGATTGGTTTAGGCTGTGGTTTGTCAGGCTCTGGCGTGGTAGCCGTGAGGCGCCTGACCGGCACGGGATGCAGGTGGCCCCGCTGCGGGTAGCCCCGCAGGGTGACCACGTTCTCGATCGAGTTGCCGATTGGCATCTGGTGGAAGTCGGGAGTGAAGTAGCGCAGTGAAGTAGGAGAGAGCGTCTCGAGTTCGCGGGTTGCCCCGCTAGCTCGATCGCGGACTGGCTCCGCTCCTCGCAGAGCCGGCGCAACATGGTATTCCACCGTGGTAGTAGTCCACCAAGTTGTGCCGTGGATTACTGGAATCAGAGCGAGAGCCAGCCACACGAGAGTGTAGCCAGCTCCGCTACCAAGTCGAAAACAAGCTGGTAAGCTTAGGTATGTGTTACGCCTTAGGCGTTGCCATATCCCAGGCTTTGGCTCATATCGCATGAGCAAGAGAGCGAGACGAAGCATGGGATCTGGAGTATAGAGTAAGATGGGCATCGTCAATGGAAAGGATGTTTTCCGATCTCAGATGCAAGTAGTGCGCCTCGGTGAGGCACAGTCACATATCAGGCCGGGCCCGGCTTGAGCCAGGCACGGCAGCGGTACATGCTCGATTAATACCTCGCCTTTAACCTTCTCCGTTTAAAGTACGTATCCAATGTATCAAAATATTGCATACTTGCAACATGTTGTATTGTGTTACATAACTGTGTCTCCTCCATACCCCCCCCAGGGGCTACGCCACATCCGTCGACCCAAAATGGCCACCCCCATTTGGGGCTCAAGAGCGTACCAAAACCAATGTAAAATCGATGATTCGGGACTTTGGGTCCTCTGGGAGGCCCAGTGGGTCCTTAAGACGGCTCCATATGGCTTCAAGACGGGCGAAGACGGCTCCAAGACGGTCCATGATGGCCCCCAAAGGGCCCAATAAACTCTTAAAACGTCCCAAGAGGCCCCAAAACGACCCCCAAGAGTGCCTCCCAAAGTCAAAATTATTAATTGTCCTATAATTTTTGGATGATTTTAGCGTACTCGCCTTTCTCGATTCTCAGAGGCCCATGGCTGCCCAGGAAGCCACCAACATTGCTCCAAGAAGGCCCCCCAAAAGGGCCCCCAAACGGTCCAGGAGGGCCACAAGACGGCCCAAAGAAACCCCCAAGCCGGTCAAATCAAAAACCTTGAGACGGCCCAAGAGGACCCCAAGAGAACCCCAAGGCGGCCGCGAGAGGCCCCCAAGACGGCCTCCGAAGGGGCGGAACGGCGCAAAAACGCCCCAAGACGGCCCAAGACGCCCCCGAGAGGCCACGAGAGGCCCCCAAGAGGCCCCCAAGGGGCCCAACAAAAAAACCCAAGAGGCCTCCAAAAAGTCCCCAAGAAGCCTCCAAGAAACCTCAAATAATCCCCCACAAGGCCACACAACGACTGGAGTGTTTTGTTACTTTTTCCCCCTTGGGCGAACCGCGGCGCAGCGCCAGCCAGGTGGAAATTGGTCACGGCGGCGCCAATGATTAGAGCCGCCGCCGGAAGGGAAGATGGGGAGGGAGTGTGAAAAGGAGGGGGGGAGAGGCCCCAAAGAAGTCCCCAAGAGGCCCAAAGAAGCTCCCAAGGGGCCTCCAGGAAGCCCCCAGGTGGCTCCCAAGAGGCCCCGCGACGACGTCACTGTACGTGCTCCGGACGTGCACCCCGCGAAGCGAGAGAATTCCACCTCTCGAGGTGACTTGCTGAGCGGCAGCGTTTTCCGGCGAACGCCTTAATGCAACGTATCCAATGTATCCAAAGATTGCATAATTGCAACATATTGTATTGTGTTGCATTATTATGTATCCCCCCTGACCCCCCTTCCGGGGGCTACGCCACATCCGTCGGCCCAAAGTGGCCACCTCCATGTGGGGCTCAAAAACGTACCAAAACCAATGTAAAATCGATGATTCGGGACTGTGGGTCCTCTGGGAGGCCCAGTGGGGCCTCAAGACGGCCCCATATGGCTTCAAGACGGGCGAAGACGGCTCCAAGACGGTCCATGATGGCCCCAAAGGGGCCCAAGAAACTCCTAAGACGTCCCAAGAGGGCCCCAAAAACGACCCCCAAGAGTGCCTCCCAAAGTCAAAATTATTAATTGTCCTAAAGTTTTTGGATGATTTTAGCGTTTTCGCCTTTCTCGATTCTCAAAGGCCCATGGCTGCCCAGGTAGCCACCAACATTGCTCCAAAAAGGCCCGAAGCCCCCAAAAGGGCCCCCAAACGGCCCAGGAGGGCCCCAAGTCGGCCCAAAGAGGTCCCCAAGCCGGTCAAAGAAAACCCAGAGACGCCCCAAAAGGACCCCAAGAAAACCCCAAGGCGGCCGCGAGAGGCCCCCAAGACGGCCTCCGAAGGGGCGGAACGGTGCAGAAACGCCCCAACACGGCCCAAGACGCCCCCAAGAGGCCACGAGGGCTCAAAAAAAAACCCAAGAGGCCTCCAAAAAGTCCCCAAGAAATCTCCAAGAGGCCTCGAAGAAACCTTCACAAGGCCACACAGCGACTGGAGTGTAATGTTATTTTTCTCCCCCTGGGCGAACAGCGGCGCAGCGCCAGCCAAGTGGAAGTTGGTCGCGGCGGCGCCCATGATTAGAGCCGCCGCCGGAAGGGAAAATGTGGAGGAAATATGAAAAGGAGGGGGGGAGAGGCCCCCAAAAAGTCCCCAAAAAACCAAAAGAAGCTCCCAAGAGGCCTCCAGGAGGCCCCCAGGAGGCTCCCAAGAGGCCCCGCGACGACGTCACTATACGTGCTCCGGACGTGCACGCCGCGAAGCGAGATGAATCTTTGTGTTGAAATCAATCACTTGCTCAACTTGAAGTTGCACGCTCCACTGATCGCGCAAACACCCCACCCGCCCACCCGCAACATGGCTTGCAACCCCCATGCGGAAACGATTGCGACGAGTGCTGGGCGCTGGCTAGTGCATCTCTGCGGCCGCGCTAGCCCACGCATGCTCGCGCGCGCAGCGGCCAGCTAGTTTGGCGCGACCGACGCGAACGCGGTGGCGCTGACCGCTCGGCACATTCCAGCGGGCACTTCAGTGCGAGTCGGCGATCTGGGCGGCCGCGGTATCATGGCAACGTCGACAACGGTAGACGCGATGATGATAGTAGCGATGCTGGCGACGATGCTGACAGCGACGACGGGGCAGCCAGGGACGGCGCCGATGCCGATCACACCGACGACGAAGACGGCGTCTTCGCGGCGGTGCTGAAAGTTTTGGAAGGAATTCGAAATGCGCGCGCGGCAGACGCGAGAGAGTGGCCCGCATGGTGTTATTTGACACGGATCGTGCCACCACAGCACACGCGCGCAAGGGCGTCCGAACGATTTCGACATGCGCGCGCGCGAAATCCGTTTGGTAACATTTTCGGATATTGTTGAAACTACCTACGGTTTTCGTAGGAATTCACAAACAGCGCACGCATGTTTTGTTTCTTTATGGAGTCCGTGATACGAAACCTGTGTTTTTAGCTGTTTTTGGACACTCGATTTTGAAATCCTTCCGAAACCGACCGTTTTTGAAGGATTTCGGCATGCGCGCGCGACGACGCGCGCGTGTGCGCTTCGTGTTTTCTTTCGCAAAGGATTCTTGCAAACATATAATTTTTAACGAGCGAGTGTGCGCGCATAGTACTTGTTGCAAAGGATGGCGGGGGGGGCGATACCGGTTTGGCTGGGAAAATATGAATTCACAGTTCGGATGGACGATGGGGCAGCATCATATGTAAACTGCAATACGACAAGGTGAAGCTTTGACCCCGGGGGGAGGATGGTAGAATTATTTCTTTTTTAAAACATAGAACCCAAGTGAAGCAATCCTTACAATGAAGGCCATGTCGTGCAATCTATGAGGTGCAAGCTATGTGGTGGAATCTGTGTGGCGCAAACTCTGTGAGCATCCTGACACACAAGCCAACGCACGAGACGGCCACGGGCGGCCACAGGGCCAACATCCGGGCACGCAGGCCAATCCCTGACAACCTAAGAACCCATAGTGCAAGCACTGTTTGGGAACATATAAATGAGCCTGGCTACGCCCCGTTTCCTTTCTGCCACTGCCTACCCGCCCATCCTCGATCCCTCTTCACCTCCCATCCGCCATCCCCTTCCCTACTCGCCCTCCTACCCTCACCTCCCATCCAGTTCCTTCTCCACTCCGTTGCCCGCCTCTCCCCTCGTCCCGCCCCCCCCCCAGCCTCCATTTCCCCCTTGCAGCTCCTCCTACTCAAGTGGGGTCCTGGCGTCTGCCCACGTCGGCGCGAAGACGAACGGAGGCCTCTTGTCGCTCCAACTGGGGTCCGCGTGGTAGTTGTAGGCCCTGGGCGCCGGGGCGGTGGGCCAGCAACCGCGGGGGCGGCCGTGGGCGCCCGCCCACAGTGGACATCGCCCTCGCGCAGGTACAGCGTGTTCATGTCGTGAAGACCTGGGCCACGGCTTCTGACACCGAGCGGATCGTTCAAACTTGAACGATCGGGGTTCTCCGAAAGCGCCGGTCGTCGCCGGGTCGACACGACACGAACCCGTCGTATCGCCTCCTCCTGCTGGCGCAACTGGGCGCCCCACCATAACCAACCTGTTTACAACCCACAAGGATTTCAACGCGCGTGTATGCCCATGCTGTCGCAACCAGAATAACGTACCAATGACGCGACCCGAAGCAATACGAGACTTCTTCGTCGTAGGATGCAGGCTGTCTGCAAGTGCAAAGCACATCTTACGGCTGATGCACAGACCTCCCCCCTCCTTCTACCAATATTCTCTCTTCGTTCGTCAGCTGTCGATACGTTGACTTTCTTTTATCGCATCGCATGTGGGGTCGGCATAGGACTGGTCGCGTCACCCCCTTCCCGGTGCCCGCGCTGCCCTTCCGGTACCTCCCCCAATGATTGCTCCCCGCCCTCGCTCCCTCCGCCTACGAATGCAACTGCAGCTCTGGTCCACTTGCATACGCACCTCCGGGCTCTGCCCCTCTGGGCAAGTCCCCTCGAAGGCCCACTCGGTTCGATTCCATCTGTCCTTCTCGCAAGCCTGCCTCCCCTCTTTTCTCCCCTTTTCCTCCTGCTCCTGCTCGTTACTCTTTGCTGCTTCGAACGAACAAAACCGGCGAACGCCGCCTCTGGATTTCGTCCTCTTCGCCCACGATGACAGGGATTGCACCCGCGATCGCGGACTCGTACACCCTGAAGCATTCGTTGTTCTTGGCGCCAGGCAAATTGGGAGCGAACACGGACTGCCTGTACACCTCGTGCCGAATGGAAATGAAGAACGCATGAATGGAATCCGGCTGTATCAGCCCTACTCAGCTTGCGCTGTTATCGCTCATCTTCCCCGTTTTTTTCGCATCTTCAACTGCGACTACCATCGAATCCTCAAACCCTCCGGTGTCCCCTCTCTGCGTTTGGACTCTGCTAGCCTCTCCCCTCCCCCCTTAAACGAGTGGCGCGCAGATTGGTCCACATGTAACTTGGCGGAGGGCTAGGCCTCACGCGTTGCTCTTGCATGTCACGCGTTCTTGTCGTTGCCTATATTTGACAGATGACCGCGGATACTTGGCTGCACCCTTTTGCCACGATCGTTACTTACACATGTCGGTTTCGCGCGACATATTACATGTACTGCACTTGTTTCACACACCTTTTGCGAACAAATCCGCGCTGCCATCGTGGCGTACCCGCAGCAAATACGGCCAGCGCGCGCGCGCCCGTACTCATGATGTGCATATATATATATATATATATATATATATATATATATATATATATATATATATATGCGAACCGTGCTGCGCCAACCATCGTACATCATCCGCAATACACCAACCGTGCATTACCATTCAACACCAGCCATGGGGCACCGTCCATATGGTACCAACCACGGGAGAGCAACCGCAGGGCACCAACCATAGGGTGCCATGAGCGCCCGTGGCCGACGGCGACGCCCAAGGGCTCGCTCGCTCGCTCCGGCTGCTCGACCTGCTCCGCCTCGTCGCCGCGCGCGAGGCCGCGACTGCGCACAAGTGTAATAGTGTGTGTGTGTGTGTGTGTGCGTGTGTGTGTGTGTGTGTGTGTGTATGCGTGCACGTATGTGTGTGTGTGTGTGTGTTTGCGCTGCTATTTCTGACGTCGAGCTACGCTCCGCGGGATGCTTGGCCGATACGCTTTGGCATTGCAGTGTCTCATCTTGTCACCGCTTGCTCCTGTCTGCGCGGCCGTGGCTCGCCCTTTCGTCGCGGCGCGTTCGACTAAATTCGTTCGCAGTTGGCACTTCCATCTGCCGTCCGCGCCTGAGGGTCTTCTGCGCCGCCGACTCAGACAGCGCGCGCGCCGTCTCTCCCCGCGCCGTCGCCGCGCGCGAGGCCGCGACCGCGCAAGAGTGTGTGTGTGTGTGTGTGTGTGCGTGCGCGTGTGTGTGTGTGTGTGTGTGTGTGTGTGTGTTGGCATGTGTCTGAGTGCGTGTGCGCGCGTGCGCGCGGGGCCCTGCGCGTGGAACCCTGCGTGCAAAATCATTTCTTGAGCGCAGTCGCATGTTTAGGGCTGCGTGTGTATCCCGATCTGCGCGCGACCACCCCGGCGGGCGTGGGGCTTTCCGCGCGGGGCCATTTTCGCTCGAGACTGAGGGCGCGGCGGGTTTTGAATCGCCGCCCGCGCCGCCCCTCGAAAGCTCGGCGCCGCAACCAGAGGGCCGCCCGCGCGCCGACGATGTGCCGCGTCTCCGCGCGGAGCTGGTCGATCCGCTGGTCTTCGCCCGCCTCTCCGCGTCGTGGGGTTCTTCGCCTTGTTAGTCTCGGCCGCGCCGATCTCCGCGTCGCCCTCGGCGGTGAGCTGCCGATCGTAGCACGCGCGGATCCAGAGCTCCTTCCAAGCGCCGCCGCCTCGCTCGCGTCGCCCGAGGTGGCGTGCTGCTCCGCGCCGGTGAACTCGCAGTGCGCCCCGCGTGCGACCAGCTGCTCCCTGGCGTAGGCCATGTTGTTACGGGCCTGTCCATGACAATTCGATAGGGCGTGCCTGCCCACGGCGCCCACCTGGACATGGGCGCCTCAAATATCTCCTTGCCTGTAGGATTCCCTCCGCCATAGCGTCACGGCGTTGCGTGCTGGCACCCTGTCCAGTCGCGCGCCATGTTGAGGTGCGATACTCGAGTGCCGTTGGCCACGTACTCCGAGGACATCGATCTCGATGAGATAGTTGAACTCGTGCGGCGTCGCCAGCAGCTTGGCGGGTCTCGGCGCAGTCGGTCTCGCCGGACTGGCGCGCGCGATGCGCCGCAGATGCCCAGCCGCCCCTGGAGCGCCTCGCTCGACGGGTGCCCTGCTGTCGTATGTAAGTGTAGTAGTCCTCCGTAGGCCTGCATCCACTGCCTTCCAGGCCTTGCGTGGCTCTACATCTTTAAGTCGTCGTGCTTCGTCGTGTGGTGGAAGGGGTGGCGGCGCTGGCGTCGCGCCGACGTCTGGTGGGGTAGACCCCTTTGGAAGGGTTGCCGTTGGCCGCTCGCCCTCGCCGGACTCGCTCGGCGCGCGGCGCAAAATGGTTTTGCCGTGCCGGCGCGACAGAGGCGGAGCAGGATTGATCACCCACTCGTCCTGCTCGTGGATGCCCTGTCCGTTGTCGTCGATGCCCACGGTCTCACGATCTCCTGCCAGTCGTACTTGCGTCTCATGGTAGAGACTCCTCGGGTCGAACTTGGCGTCCATCGCCGCGAGGATGTAGCTCCCAGACTCGTCCGTGCACTCGTGGGCCGCGCCGACATTGCCGGGGCCCCCGCACATCGGCCTCCTGCGGGCTTCGTCGTGGAGCTCCTGGACCTCCGCGGGAAATGCGAGCTGCTCGTAGCGCCTCTCGAGTAGCTCCTCGCGCGCGCCCAGCAATGTCCTCTGCCAGCTCCAACGGGTGCCGTCTTGTTTGCGCGCTCCGAACTCCGTTTGCATTGCGCCCGTCGATCATGTCGCGTCGACGTCGTGCATCGCGCCCCCGCGTGACCCTCTCCGCGATCGCGCCCTTGTCCGCCAAACCCACTTGGCTTCAGGTACGGCCGTCCGCTCTCGGTGTCCCTGAGGTCCCACTAGCACCTATTTCTCCGGGCGAAGTCCATCTCCGGGTCCATCGGCACTTCCTCCGGTGCGGGGTCCTCCCAGGCGTCGCTCGCCCGCGGGTTCTCCATAAAAACGACCCTCCCAATCTCCGAGCGGTGTTTGGCGACCCGCGCACTGAACTTCACGACGGCTGCGCCTTCTTCCGCTTCTCCTCCGCGCGTGCTGCGAGTGAAGCTCCGCGCGCGATCTGGAAGCGGGGCCGGCCGCCCCGCGGTCCAGAAGGCCACGGGGCGATCGCCAACCACGGGGCGTCACGGTCCAGCTGCTCGAACACCCGCCCCTGGTTCGACGGGCCGAAGTAGTCAAGTCGAAACCGCCCAGGGCGTCGCCCGGCAGAGACGCGGGCATATGCGTGACCGTGGCGGCATGCCACGTGGCCCCCAGCATCCCACCGAGCAAGCCCTTGACGGGGGTCTGGTCAGGCCCGAGGCAACTCCGCGCCTCCCTGATCACGCGTTCCTTGAGCCCTCGTCCTCGCCGATCGCCGCGTGCAGCCGCCCGGGCACTCTCCTCGTCGCCGAACATCTCCGTTTGGTCCTGTCGGATGCTCGTGCCCCTGCCTGCCGTCGCGGTCCGTCGAAGCACCTCGTGGATGGGCAGATTGCCCACCGATGCCTTCCTCTCGACGTCCCCCGCGGCGTCGTGAGACGCAGCGTCCGAACTCAGTGCCGTGGCGGTCTCCTTCTCCAACCGCTCTGGCTGGTCAAAGCACAGGTTGACAAAGTCAATGATCTTCGCGCCCCAGCACCCCTCGCTCGTCCTTCGCAGCTTCACTCCACTGAGGCCGAGCTTCCAGAAGTCCGCCGCCCCCTCGACGAGGTCGATGACCATGCCCGGCGCCTTCTGCGTCATGAGCGACAGCAGCGTCTTCGTGGGTGACCCTGGGGTTGGATTATGACTGATCTCGCCATTCTCTCCACCGATGCCGATCGGTAGTGCGTCTCTGAACTTCGCCTCCTTGCGATCTCCTCCGCCAGATCGGTGCTTCACCTTGCGTGGGAGAGACTCAATGCGCAACCCGTATTTCTCGTTAAGCTTCGCCGAGTACCGCTCCAACCACTCGTCGCCGTGCATGGCGCTCGTGCGCGTCGTGTCCAGACGAGCGATCTCGTCGTCGTCGCACTCGCTGTGGTCGTCAATGACACCAGCCACGGCCGCGAACTTGCGAGCTTGCCCGACAGGCACCCGCTGCTCTCCCGCGGCGCCTCGACGTTGGCCACGCCGTCGCCGTCCGTGCAATTCCACCTCGGGCTCGGTGTCGGGGATGCCGGCACTGCTGCCGCTGCCGCTGATGACGCCAGCATGGGCCGAGCAGGCTCTGCCCAGGCGGCTGGTCCACTATCCAATAGTGCTCTGGCGACATGGGACGCTTCTTGTCCTTTTCCTTGTCCTTGTCCTGCTCCGCGCTGGCCGCGAAACGCGCCCCCGCGGCGTCGTCGTCCGCGTCGTGGTGCCTGAAGGCGAAGAAGCCCGTCTGTGTCCTTCCGCCACTTCGTCGTCTATTTGTCCCGCCACCGCCCTTGCCACCGCGTGGCTGGACTCGACCTCGGCCTCCGCGCGGCGGCAGCGAACGACCCGACTCGGCGCAGCCAGGATCTCCTGCCCAGTGACCGAGCGCTCCGCACACTCGGCATCAGGTCTTCTTCTTCGACTCCTCGATCCGCTTATTCCTGTCTTTCGCCGTCTCCTGCTTGATGTTCGTCGGCTTCCCGGGGCGACTGGACCCTCGGGCGCGGCCCGTCCGCTCGCGCAGGTCTTTCCGGGCGGTGCGCGCTGTGGACGCATGGGTTTCAGGTCAAACCCCTGTTAACAGCCCTTTGCGTTGCCCGCCCAAATGCCCGCGGCGTCCACAAGAGAACGCGTTGAAGACGCAAGCGTGAACCAGCGTATTTCGCCGCGCACAACTTTGAACACACGCCCGCGCTATCCACATGTGCTGATGCTCGTGCACCACAAGCGCGACCGCGCTAAAGACACTTCGTCGTCATCGCACATGCGCCGATCGTCTGACCCCGACGACGGCGATGGAATCAGGTACTGGGCAACGTCGCAACAACGACGCGGCGTTCATAGCGGAGCCAGCTTAGCACGACGAAGCGCGCCACGTGCCATCCCACCACGCAGGCTCTATATCTAGAGCCAGTGGCTAGATGCCCACAGCTTTGTCGACGCCAATGTTGGCGCGACAAGGGGGGTCCAACAACGGACGCAACCAGAGACGACGCAAAACGGGGATGCCCCCGTCGAGGGCACGTGTCCCAGCGAGGCCGCTGGACGATCGGATACCACCCCATATGAGGCCGTGCTCGCGCCAGCGAACCCAGATCAGCCAAACCGATCGCGCGCCCCCCCCCCCCCCCAAATTTGCACAAGCACGAGCGCGCGCGCCCAACCGAAACCAAGCGCGCCCAAGTCACGCGAACACACCCCAGTACGCCAAGGGGCAACACCCAAAACACGCCCATGATCACTTCAATTCACCCACGCACAAGCACGCGCGCAGACGTGGCTAGTTGACTGCATAGCTAGATCGATGCATTAGGAAGGGCAGGCAGACTTCCCGCAAGGATTTCACATAGTAGGCGGACTTCCCGACAAGGGATGGCAATGGGGCAGTCGGACTTCCCGAAGGGATGATTGAATAAGGGGCAGGCGGAGAATCCATGGGAATGGTATCTATCAAAGCCAGGTGGGACGACACCGCAGCTATCTCTCATTTTTCCCGCTCGCTCACGGCACAGCCAACCACCGCGAGCGATGCCGTGGCGACGTCACCCTACATCCCACGAAAAGGGATGCTACTCGAGCTGACCGTGAATCGCGCTGAGTGTGGTTGCACGTGCGTGTGGGGGGAGGGCCTGGCCCAGCTTACTTCGCAAGTTCCCAGCGCGGCTCAAAGTCTCAGGGCTTCGAGCCCTGCGTCGAGATGGCGTCCTCGGGATCGAGGTCAGCCACAGATACCCTACATTGCAATCGGGCGTCCTAGGCTGGGGCTCTGGAGCTCAAACCCTTAGGGGCTCTGACCTCAGGCGCAATTACTGTTTGGGGAATGCTCCTCATGGGGCCCACGGTGTGCGATGCTAGGGTTGAGGATGGGGCACCTGGAGTATTTCTGGATTGGGTTTGGGGGTGCCTGCGGTTGTGCTGAAGCATTGGGTCTTGCTTTCGAAGCTCCGCATCCCTTCCTCATCCTCCTCATCCTCTCCTTCTCCTCCCCTCGAGCCTCCCTCCAAAGTCGCAGCGCGCCTCGGCGACTGCCTGTGCTATTCTGCGGCGACCCCAGTCCTCGACCACTCGAGAAGTCATCTGGGGCCCTGGAGGCATACTGAAAGACCTGCTGAACAAAATCGGAAAACCCCTTCCTGCGCTCGACCCACATCGAAGCCTGAAGCGGGGCCAAATGCGCAGTGGACAACGCAGAGGCCGCCTTGAACACATCTGCATCCACGGTCTTGGCGACCTCAGTGTCCAAAAAAGGGACGTGCAGGTAGTGAAGCCAATTGGGATCAATCTTCTGATTCCTGGGGCCTGGATGGTAGAAGACTGGCTGCACATAGAAACCGCTGGGCACAAACAGTACATAATGCTTTGGAAGATACACACAAACAGCATGCTTGGACTTCAAGAAGGCCTCGCCAGAGGAGCTCTTCAAGAAGGTAAGGATGTCCTTCAAGACAATCCCTTGGCTGATGATCTCGGCAACGTCATACATCAGCACAAACATGCTCTCATTCAAAGGGGACATGAAACAACTGAAAGCTGGCAGTGGCGCGGCCATCGCGCCCAAGCGCAACGCATTGCGGACAATGCAGCACAGGTGGGGCCCCGGGCCGGGAAGAAACTTCAGGTGGTCACCGTAGTCGTTCTTGGTGTCCACGTTCGCTTGGGCCCCCAGCCAAGCATCGCGGTTGACCGCCATCTTTTCGTTCAGCCTGATGCAACGCGCTGCAACGCTCATCGATGGGGCCGCGAATGTCAGTCATCATCTCTTGGAAGGAGGCGAACGGGGTCTTCCAAGCGAACAGCTTTGTCGGATCGAACTCGTTCATGTTCGCGTCCATGGTGATCCCGCAGCTGGACACGGGCTGCAAGCAGTAGGCGCTGTAATCACCCTCCTCGTCAGCAATCATGGTCGCCTGAGCTTTCGTCCAGGTCTGCGCGATCAAGGGGGCAACGTGCTTTGCCAGCTGCGCGTCGAACACCCCAGACGCACTCAGAGTGCCAGCAACCTTCAAGGTCGCCCGAAAAAAAAAAACTCATCCCATCCTCTCTCCACCGCCTGCCTTCCCTTCCAGTCCGTCCCCTCCTCAATCCTCCTCCAGCCCCGTCCTCCTCAATCAACCTCTAGTTTCGTTGCGTCTCAGACGTCTCAGAGTTTCCAGGGTTCCTACAACGAGGGTGAACAAGTGGACGCTGTTGCTGGACCCACACCTTCTGAGACTGGTGGCGGCCCTGCAGGTAGCTCTTCCGCTTGGTGCTCTGGATTTCCTTGTCGATCAAATCCAAGGACTGCGCGAGCTCCGCTGCGTCGGCCCAGCAAGAGGCCAACTCCACCTTCAGGGAATCCAGCTCCGTAGCGCACGACGCCACAGAGCCATCTCCAGTGGGCCCAGCCCGCTCAGCTTTCAAGCCAAGCTGCTTCGCCTGCTTCTGGATGCTCGCGAACTTCTCCACCGCAGTCTTCAAGTTCCCTGGCAAGTCGGGGTACTCCTTGTGCCTCTCTGCCAGCTTCGTCAAGCGCGCAGACGTGGTGGCCTTGCCCTCGAAGCCCTTCACGATCTCCTTCGCCGCCTCCTGGAGCGCCTTCTTGGCGTGCAGGTGCTTCGCGTGGGGGCCGGGCGTCTCTGGAGACTCAGTGGCCTTGAGCTTCTTGCGGGCTGGCTGGGTAGGCATCTCGGGGGTTGCCCTGGAGACCGCGGGGCGGCAACCGACACGGCCGGGAGCAGGAGTGCGCAGCACTTCGACCCCAGAGCTGCTCGCCGCCACAGAACTCGCAGCACGGGGAGTCTCGGCCATGCCGTCCTCGTATCCCTCGTCGTCGTCCTCATCGCCGATCGTGGTGTCCTGCACGACCCCGCGCTTCGACTCGGTGCCCGCCTCGTGCTTGACGTGCTCGTTGCCCTCAGCGAGGACGACTTGCTGGTTCCTCTTGTTGTACTTCGGGTTCGCATCGAACTCAGCGTCGAAGCGCTCGTCGGCCTCCTCCTTGGACAGGCCTTCCCAGAATCCCATGAAGCCACGGTAGCGAACCTTGGTGAGCCAGACGTCTCCGCACCCAGCGAGGTCCCTGTCGACTGACATGTTGGACTCCTGCTGCTTCTGGGTCGTCTTGAAGTCCTGGATGGCGGCCCTGCGCGCGTCCTTGTCCAGGTAGGGCAAGTGCGTGGCGCGCCACTTCTCGGGGTCACGGCTCATGTCGGCTTGGTCGCTGAGAGCCGCAGGAGTGCCCATGACGGCGCGCCTGCGAGAGCGAACGGCGAGCTTGCACTGGTGGTGCACCGACTTGCCGAACCAGCTCTCGCAGAGGTTGCCGCCCTCCTGGCACAAGGAGCAGACGAGGACCTCGATGCCCTGCGCAGACCCTGGCGGCCCATGAGGTCCTGGAGATGGCCTCTTCGACGCAATATTGCGCCGTGCCTCCGTGGGCGCGTTGACCTCCGACGGGGCGCCCATCTCGTCATCGCTGCGGCCCATCTCTGCTGGGCGCGTGCTCCAGGCCAGCCGAAGGTCGAACAAACGAAAGGGGGTGGCAACTCTCGGCCTCAACACGGCTGAGGAGACCGATAGACGTGACGATGCCATGGGGGGCCCAAGAGTGAGAAGACGGAAAACGGAGCAGCACGCATCGTTGAATTCATCGTTGAGCCAACCCCAAAGCTTGGCCAAAGAGGAACTTACAAAGGCTCAAGCAGGGTCAACATGTTCGGAGGCTTCTCCTGGGGCCTTGGGAACCATCGTAAGGACTTTGCCTATGCGCCAGAGGTAACCTCAGTTAAACAACTCCCCCCTCTCTTCCACCTCCTGTCCTCCTGTCCTCCTTTCCTCCTCATCGTCCTCCTGTTCCTATCCTCCTTCCCCTCTTCCTCCCTTCTCCTGCTCCTCCTCGTCCTCCTCCTTTTAACCCTACTCCTACACGTACTCCTACTTCTACTCCCACGCCGATTCCTAAAACCTGTTCCTACTCGTACTCCTACCCATACTCAGCCTAGCATTTGTCCTCCTCCTTCTCCTCCTCGTCCTCCCCCCTCCTCCTCCGCTGCATCCTGTGCTTGCTCTTGACACCAAGGTTTTATTTCTACAGGTGGATGTGTCGAAACAAGCGTAACACATAAATATTTGGAGACGTCTCCCTGTGACTGCAAAGGCGCGGCGCCCACGGCTGTTGAATAGCTGGATGGGGTGCTCGCGCACGTCTCTGCCACGCTGGAGACGCGCGGGCTCTCGAGGAGTTGATGGCCCCCGTTGGAGCGAGGGGGGGAGGGGGGAGGGGGGAGTAGGAGAGGGAGGGAGGGATGGGAATATTCCCACCCGACAGGCCCAACAAGGAAGTACGAAGCGCCCCCCTAGAAGTGCCTAAGATCCTCTTGGGAACCATTTGTGGCCATGGGGCCCCGTTCGAATAAAACGAAATTGGGATAACAGGTGTGCGTCTGGGCGCGCGCTTGTTTTTTTCATCGCCCTCGCGCGGCCTACCACGAGAAGCCGCATCCTCCCTCGGGCAAGCGGCAGCTGCCAGGAACGGCGTCCTCGTTCTGACATGCTCGATGTGCTATGCTATGCCCCTCTTTCCCGCGGGCGAAAGCGGCCCCGTCCCCCATGAGGACAGAATCTCTTTCACCTCGGGGAAACAAGCAGCACAGCACAGCACGCATCGGGACCCTTGGGGGACGGCGAGGCTCCGCGCCTAATGATCAGTCACTCTCGGACGTGCTGAGCTCCGCAGCGTTCCGAAGATTCTCGATCGTCGCTGCGTCCTCACGCGCTCTGTCGTTGTCCCTGTTCGCAGCAGAAGTGGCGGAATCAGCAATATTCTGCATCTGAGTCTTCAAGGCGCGAATCCTCTTGAGCAGCATCACGTTGAACATGCGGGTGAGCTTCAACATCTTAGACATCCTCCTCACACGGCGTTTCGCTGGCCTCGTCAACTTTGAAACCCACTTGGCGTTCTTGGGCGGCATCGGGGCCCGACGCGCCGAAGCAACTATGGGGGGTGGCCGGTTTGAGCTCTGACCTACGGAATTGTTCGGCAAGGCGTTTCATGTGTTCGGCCGTCGGGGGCCTACGCAAAGCTCTAGCTGCCCCAGGGGAGCGGCCTGTGTGGCACTCACACGCGAACCAAATCCGAAAACAAAGCTTGACCCTGCGACCTCTCAAATGTCGGTCCTTAGAACGTTTCTTGAGCGTCATGGTTGTTGGATTTCGCTCTGTGGTATTGACACGGTTTGGTGTGGTATTGACACGGTTTTGTATGGTATTGACAGTTCTTGGTGTGGTATTGACACGGTTTTGTGTGGTATTGACAATTCTTGGTGTGGTATTGACACGGGTTTGTGTGGTATTGACAATTCTTGGTGTGGTATTGACACGGTGTTGTGTGGTATTGACACGGTTTTGTGTGGTATTGACACGGTTCTGTGTGGTATTGACACGGTTTGGCGTGGTATTGACACGGTCTCGGTTGGCCTCTCGGGAATCGGCTTGAAGCTACTTGAAGAAGCTTTTGCTTGCTCTTAGGGGGGCCTATGAGGCGCTTTGGGGCCTTAGGGGGGATCCCAACGGCGGCTGCAACAAGTCAGTGAGTGATCGCGTCCCACGGCTGAAACTCGCAGCCCCCCTCCAGCCAGCAAGACAGGAAGAACGCCTCGAGGGCCAATAACCGCCCCACAAGGCGCAGTGTGCACATGCGATACGCCTAGAGGGAGCAGTCGTACACACGGATCAGCCCCCCCCCCTCTGCGTCGAAAAAAAACCAAGAAAGGGTAGGGGTCCGCTGGCCAGCTCAGGAAACTGCAACCCTCCACTGGGACCTTCCGTGGAGCGAGGGGGCGTACTCTACCGAACGGACAGAGAGTGGAGCAGGGGGGAGGGTTGGGATGAGAAGGAGGAAGATGACGACGCTGAGCACGCACGAGTGGGGGGGCCAAGTGAGAGGGCGACGAAGACGACAAGGCCATGAGAGACGACGGGCTACGAGGCCCCCCTGAGGCGAGGGCGAGTCTTGGAAACGCGTGGGTGGGTGGGGGGGGGGGGGGGACTAGGGCCCCATCGTCCTCGAGAGACTCTCCTCATTTCCCATCGTTCACAAGCTGTCTCTGTACGCATGCACCTCCGCAAGCGTTGGGTAGTAAGCCCTGTGCTCGTCGCGGGTGCACTCGCCGCCACGTCGGAGCCAACAACCCAAGTAGTAATAATAATACGAATTGCGAGCTCCAAACTCGTCCAGCCACAATGCATCAGATCGGAACCTGTTGCAACCCTCGTGGGCCGTACCAGTGGCCCGCCAGCCTGTGTGCAACTTGCCCTTCCTATAGTGGTTCTCTTGTTTGAGCTCGCCGATGTCGGGGAGTGGCGGGAGTGGCGGCGCTGGCGCCTCGCCCCCTCCAGCGTCGTCACCTGGGGAAGGTGCGCTCCAGTGGGGCGCCAGCTGAAACATAGTGGACTACAGTTTTTGTAAATAAGATGTGGACGAGATATCGGGGCGCATCTAGGAACCAATGTGACGATCATAACAAGACAGGCAAGGCGTTTCACCTGCTTGTAGAGCGCTATGGCCCTATGTTTGTCGTTGCGCATCGCATCTGGATGGGCTGGCGGGGATGCGAAACACTCCCGAGGTTGCATGGCGTATTAACCCTGGGGGGACAATGTCAGTTCACCTCGTCCACCCGCGCGGCCCTCACCCCTTATCTCCCCCAGGGGGTGGTTAATGATAGTGGCTTCAGTTTCGCAGCATCGCTCCTCAATATCAGCTTGCCCTCACTTATCCGCCCATCATTCCGATCCTGCATTGTGCGCGTTCCTTCTCCTCACCCTCCCCCCCCTCATCGAAACGCGGCAAGGCTCAAACGATATAAATATATGTTACTCCCTTTGGAGTGTTTGGGACGTAGCCGTGAACCTGCGACGGAACTGGGACTGCTGGAACTGCTGGAACTCTCTGGCCCAGCAAGCGGCGGAGGCGCATCCGCGATTGCCTCAGGGACGTCGGCAACAGGAGCAGGAAGAGGGGCCGCATCATCTGGAACAGTGCCATCATCTCCACAAATGCCGTCATCCTCAAGTGCTGCTGCTGGTGGTCCAGCTGGCGGCAAGGCAAGCCGCTGCTTCGGTCGCCGATCCAGCGCCCCAATGGGCACCACATCGCCAGTGAGCTCCTGGTACTTCCTCTTGAGCGCTTTGGCTGACAAGGACGCGTCAGCAGCGGCGGGCTCCCTCAGCAACAGACGGTAAAACTGGAACGTCTTCCCAGACGCGAACGTCACGCCCTTGCCATGGATGAAGTCCCTGGCTAAGACGCACTGCAGGTACGCCCGCTGGCTGACGAGCTTCCTCGCATCAAAGACACGTACTGGATCGCCAGGCTCGTGCTTAACGACTCGATGGACGGCTGCGAACCCGTCGTCCTCGAGCGACTTCACGAGGCAAAAGACGGGCACGCTCTTGCTGCTGAGAAGAAGCGTCGGCGTCGCGACCTGCGGCGACTCCAGGCTAAGGCGTCCTTCAGTGTCAGCCTCGGACACTCGCCACGTCAGGATGCGATCTAAGCCAGCGGGATCCACGCTAACAAGAGAGATGATATCGATCGTCTCTGGATCCTCTAACTGGTACGCGTCGAGATGCCGATGGTCATCATGACCGCGACTGCGGTCCTGTGGAGGTGTTGTCGAAGCTGCGCAATCACCCCTCCTTTCGGGCCTCCCAGGGCCATATTTGATTTTCCCATCGGCCCCAGTGGGGTCGCTCGAGGCCGGTGGGGAAGGGGGTTCAGACGGCCCCTTGCGGGGCCCACTCAGAGAAACGACTGTACTAGGCTACCCACCCCCTGCAGCTACCCCCCTCATGCAGGGCTTTGCCCCCCTCACTTACCCTTGCGCCCATCATCGCACCCCCGAGGGATCAGAGCAACTCGCTGGCAAAGGCTCGTGGTGGATGGGATGGGATGCGGAATGCGTAAGCTATCGAATCTTGCTACGTCCCCTCACCCAAACATCACTACATTTGAGACGCCAGATGTCCCTCCACAGCTCCATCGGCTGGACGGTGGCGCTGGCGAGGCACTTCTCCTTTATCTTGTCCAGGAAGGTCGGCGCCGGGATGGCGCGACTCTCCATGCTCAGCAGCTGGAACACGAACAGCTCAGGCTCATCTTCTCCGACGCGATTGTTCGGCACTGATATGTACTCCATTGGTTGCAACGCATGTTGAAGATATTGGCGCATCAAAGTAACCTCTTGAGAATCGCGCTGGGGTCCGTCGCCAGGGGGGGCGCCTCCGCCGCCGCCAGCTGGGCCGTCATCATCGTCATGGTCTCCAGCTTCCTCATCTGACCCATCAGGGCCCCCTGCGTCGCCATCGTCCAATGCTGGCGGCCTCGGCGGGCCGTCACCTGGTAGGTCTGGTGGAAGCGCAGGTGCTCCTGGAACGGCCCCTACTGGATAGTGAACAAAATTGCAATGCTCTGCGCGGTAGAATCT